GGTTTTATGGTTGATGTTGGTCCTGTTTCCACGTCCTGAGGTGGATCCCTTCCCCGCAACAGAATAATTATACATAATACTAAAAAGAATGTACATTTCCAATAATTGATGAAATTTTATACCTTTCTAGATTCTTAATAAAATCGTTGAATTTCTATGCACTTGCATGGATGAGACGTGATATTGCTGCTTCTAGCATCTTTTCCTGATTGAAAGATTATTGTGCTGAAGTAACTTTCAACTTGATGTTGCCTAATTTCTATTGTGATTTGTCTGGTAGAACATGAAGTTGAAGATATTTTATGGTTTCCACCAGCCCTTTATTTTGTTGTTGCACTTGATTTCAGCAGCAGATGCTCCTGGTGAAGGAAGAAAATCGTTGAGGACTCAGTTTGATAGTAATCGCAGTTTCTTCTATGCTGAACTTCCTGAATGTGTAACCTTATCGCATGTTATTGAGGAGACAGAGATATTTCCAGCCCAATTTGGACGCGAGGTTAGCTTAAAAAATTCACAAATTTGTAAAGTCTTTCATACTCTTTCACCGTTTAAAAGGAAAAAATATATATACTAATGATAATAAGGGGACTAAAACGAAGATTTGGAAAATCTCATCATTCCCAACAATTTCAAGACAGCCTTCCTTTGTCAAACAACGGATGGAACTTCTTTCGTGAGAATGGTAAAAAAGTGACCGAGAAACCTTTTGCAGGTTCTAGCTGGCTTGCTTAACATGGCTGATAAGGCTGATTGGAGGAATTGTACCCATTCAAAAGAAGAAGAAACAAAGATGGCTGAAGAATTCAAGATAAGATTTGAAAATTTTGATCCTAATAAGTGAGCTAGCTCTTAGTTGTAGTTGGGAAATTTTTCAGTCGCTGCACTCATGCTTTCACTCTAGATATGCACCTCCTAAGGCTATTATACCATCCCAAGGACATCGTAGAAAAGTAAATTATTTGGATATTTGAAGCCTTTTTTCTTCTTCTAGAGCTTAAACAACAACTAGATGAAGATGATGATACGATGATATCCTTCACATGATAGCAAAGGTTCTGGCACCCGACTTATGTCTAGATGAACTGGAGTGAAAGGGGGCGTCTGTTACTGTTATTGTCTCATGCATCCCAGCTCGGAATTAACGATCCAGCTATCATAGGCACGCACATGTCACCTGCTGATCGGTACGAATACCTTTTCTCCATGCCTCTTACTTTCTTATGATTCTTTTTCTTTAGAAATTCCATGTTGCTGTTGGAACTGTTTTCAGCATAGCTAATTAATTTTCTTCAGCAATATGTGAGAAGAGGAGAGGTTATTAATTGTATTAGGTTATTGATGAAAGGTGATCTTGTTTGACTAACTTGTCACTTGGTTTTTTATTTTTTTCTCTTTTTTTTTTAAATACCAAAATATCCGATTCTATTATTCTTTTAAGAAAGATGAACTCCTTTCATCATTGTGAACCTTTTTGAAATTTCCAAAAGTCCAGACAACAATTAGGCTCAATTTCCACGAGAATTTCCTCAGTGGTTCACCGCCCAAGAGTCGCCCTTCACGTCTAAGAATTTATGAACCACTTTGTCAGTCTACTGTAGCTCTAGCTAGAGTCTAGATGGAGGTCCATTGGAGTTTGGGTTAGGTGAGGGAGATGAACTTCTTGGTTATTTGAAATTTTTATAAATCAATTGATCTATTAGGCATAAACTAATGGAACTTTAAAGTTTTAAATTTTTGTTTAGTAGACTTGTGAATTTTAGGAAATATCAAAGTTAAAACTCCTGTTAGACACAAAATTATAGAAAGATTTAAAGATGCCTTGAATATTTAAGGTATAGTAATTGGATTTATGAGTTATGAAGAGTCCACAAATGTTGGATGAAAGTCCAGCTAATTTAGGGAATGATCATGAGTTTATAATCAAGGAGTACTATCTTCATTGGCATGAGACTTTTTGGGGAAGTTCAAAGCAAAGTTATGAGAGCTTATGCTCAAAGTAGACAATATCATACCATTGTGGAGAATCGTATTCATCTAACAATGGATAGCTCTCAAAGTAGACAATATCATACCATTGTGGAGAATCGTATTCATCTAACAATGGATATTTAAATGGTGCAAATGTGGATGGATATTTAAATGGGGCAAATGTGGATGAAAAGATGTGTACGTGGTTGGAGTGGATGAGATTGAATTGCTTCAAATAGCTTTAAATTTTGTCATTTTTGCTTATTCATTGCATGAGCTGAGCCTCCATTGTCTGATTCATCGTCTTTTCTGATATGAAATTTCATTGAATAATAATAAAATTCAGGACTTCTTATGCATATTAAGTATTTACATTCATCATGGGTCAATAAATTTTAGTTTTGTACTAAATAGATCTTAGATTATAACAAGTTAATAAAATTTTCAAACTTTCATTTTTGTATTTAATAAGTCTCTACATTTTTCAATTTTGTGTGCAATGTGTTATTTAACGTTTTTAAACATTCATGGATCTACGAAACATAAAACTAATAGATGGTCCTAATAGATACGGACCAGTAACTTTAACTTTTATTTTTCATACGGGCTTGTTAATTTGATTATGCTTTTTTGAAGTGGATTCTTATATTAATTGTGATGGTAGCAATTGGCTACAATTTTACGTCCCGACCAATAGCCACAATTTACATCTACGAATTTATGAATATATTGGCAACTTGAACGTGTTTAAGTATTTAATTATTATAATTGAGTCAAAAAAAAAAAAAAAAAAGTTCAAATTTTCACCGTCACGCAAACGACAAAGATTTCTTGAGGTACCTTGGTGTGGAGGAAGTCAGATGTGGGAATTATTCATCTGCCTTGCTTTTTTCTCTCTTCCTCTGTCCCTTTTCAGCCTTAAGCAAAGCAAAGGCAATGATACAGAGACAAGACAACGTAAAAATTACAAAAAATAATAAATAAAATAACTTTAGAAATAATAATAATAATAATAATTAAAAAAAAAAAAAAAAAAGTGTCCAGCTTGGAGAGATTGAAACTTAGATCTATGGCATATTTGCACATGATTGGGAAAGGACAAAGTGGTTGAAAACGACCTCATGGGTTTGGTCATAATACTTTATTCACTTTTCTTTTTTCGGTATTCATTTATATATTTAATTAATTCCTAGAATACCCATTAGGTTTTCGAACGACCCCATATGTGTACTCGAGCCTTTTCATTCGTCAAATGATAATGATAATGATGATGATATAAGGCTTGTTATACATAGTGGTATTAGCTCATAGCAAGAGTGGTGGAAGAGGAATATTGGTCGGTTTTACAGAAAGTGTTCACCGTTCTATTTATCAAACTGACCATAGCTCGTTAATTAACATGTATTTTTTAGTGGGCAGACTCAATTACGTTTACTCCACGTGTTGTACTTTTCTTTTCATAAAAAAGATTGTTTATATATTCGTAACGCTTCATGCTAAAGATCCAAATTTGATAACTAATGACTTCGACATTTCTTTGCATCGTATACGACATTTATGAAAATGAATAACCAATTTAAACTTATCTCAAATGATTACATGATATGATATGATATGTTCCGTTGCTTGTTGAAGCGTTGAGTGTTTCAAGAACATGTGGGCCCAAAAATAAAAAATAATAAAAAATAATAATAATAATAATAAAGGGAAGTGCTCTCAATAATGGTGGGTCCTCCATAGATGTCTACATCTATTATTTACAAAGTGGTCTTCAATTTTCTTTGCTTTTACAAAAATGGCCCTTTCGAATAAGTGTTTGCCAAACAACCCCTTTTTTATTTCTTAATTTATTCACTCGCCCTTCCACGTTTACCCAACTTAATTAATTCTAAACCAAAGATTAGCTCACTAATATTCATCTAATCTTTACACTTAACTTCTTCTTTCATGATTTGCCCATGTGATTACCTTCTGTATAGTATAATTAAAGTGTTCTTCGTTATTATTGAACTAAAAAAAATTAATTTTTTAATTTATTAATTGTCCACTTCGACTAATTAAATTTATGACAGTTTTAGTCGATGATATAATATCTTAACCAGTTAAGTTAACTTTTGCTTTTCATTTCTTGTTCGACGATTCTTAAAATTCATGTATGCTGAAAATATGACATAATTCAATAAATAAGGTATCGGTTGTTATCTCAAAGATCGAAGGCTCGATGGTCGGGGACAAGAAATCCAAGTATGAATCAAATCAATTTAGAACACACTAATGTTAATGACTCCAAAGATATCCATTCTGTCCATTTTCTTTGAGTTCTCGGACAAAAAGGAGACATTATTTCGAGTTTTAATAATTATTTCTCGATTCATTTCCATTTTTGTCCTCTCCCAACATACAATCATTTCCAACACACATCAGACCAAATTTGTAATTTTTGTAATTTTGTCTCTTTTTATTATTCTCCAAATTTCTCGATTTAAGTCGATAGATTAGAATAATACGTTTTCATTTATCTAAAATTCTCTCGTCATTTGAGATCAGAAAATTTGCACGAGATTTTGCAAGTGACTTACCAATGTTAGCTAGAACATGACTTTTAAAAATAATGAAGCTAACAAACTTATTCATCGATCAATTTTTCAAAAAAAAAATATACACTATTAAAAACTAATATAAAAGTACGCTAATTTGAAGCTATAACATCGAGAATATTGAAGTTTCTTATTGTGACGAACTACTTTATAAGGCAGTTTAATCATTCTATAAATGATCATTAATAAGTATTTGAAAACTGTTTTCTTTTTGGGATAAAAGAAAAGGAAACCTGTTATCTTTCCACGGCGATTTGAGTGAAGATTTTGACCCATCCAATATTTACAAACAAGTCGTTGATTGAAATTATTAGGACATTGAAGCTTAAGCAGCAATTTCTCGGATTCTTAAACAAAAAGTTGAATAAAAAACAAAATTATAATCCAAGATATGGAGGATGAGAAGTCAGTCATATGGGTCTCTAACTGTGTCACCATCTGTAGAAATGGCCAACACGAAGCACTGAAAACCAGGAAAATCAGCAATCTCGATTATGAACTCCAAAGACCCACATATCAAATTTGATTCCCCGTTGGATCCTAAAACCTCCCATTAAAATATTTGCTTCTTTCACTGAGTGAGCGAGTGGTATATGAAGTGGATTTCTACTGTTCTTGGTTTTGATTTTGGTTTTCTGGGTCTGTTTCTTTTGGAGAAACTCCTTGTTTTTTGTTCATGGGTTGCTCAAATCCTTGCAAAACAGAGTCGAAAATGGATGATTCGTTTGTTTGAGGTGTTTTTTTACCAAACCCATATCTGGGTTTTTGAATCGATTGCTTTCTTCGCACTGTTTGTGGGTCTTATTCAGTCCAACATTGTTCTTGCTTCAAGTTATAAATTCCCATTTAAGTGATTTGTTTAATTCGTTTTCATCTGTTTGTTCTTCTTCTACTTCTTCTTTTAATCGATGTTGAATAACTTTGTGGTCATTTGAGGAAGTGGGTTTGGATTGGGGTTTGAGTTCATACGGGATGGAGGCTCTTCTTCCGCTGCTGATTCTTTGTGTCGTTGCTGCTAATGCGTCCGACCTTCGGGAAATCGCAGGTAAAACCCTCTTTCTTATGCACATTTCGAATTCGCTATCTGGGTTGTTTAGATTTGAATGAACTGGTTAGCCATTTGATTTGGATGAACTGCCGCTAATGGGTTTATTCCGGCAGCTTCACTCGGTGCTCCTACCGTGTCGCCGCCGGTTAATAGCATGCCTCAGCCGCCTTCACCAGTTCAACCCAGTTCCCGGCGTGACCAAACAAGCAATTCATCACCGAATGTAGCTCCAATCCCCGACCCAATTTCTCCAGGTTCCACTAAAAACTTAGCTAATTGTTAGCTGTTTATGTTCCTGTTCTTCTCTTATTTGAACCATTTCCACAAGCAAGTTTCTTAAGAGCTAGGAAAAGTAAGAATTCTTGTCCCAATTGTGGTCTGGATCTAGATGTTTGAAACTGCTGATGAATTTCTACTGTTCTTGGTTTAAAAGCTCTGTTCCCATATGTTCATGGTGGTTTGATCTGATCTATTTTGATGTTTCCAGAGCCTAATATCCCTCCAGTAGTTGCTATTTCGCCCAAAGCTGATGACATAAAGAGCTTAGAAGCACCAGTAGCTACACCTTCTAATGCATTGCCTAAGTATATGCTACCTGTGAATCATTCCCCAAAGGAAGGTACTATGGAAAAAGTGTATTTCAGTTGAATTGCTCATGAACAAAGAAACCCTCTCCCTGGTGCTTATTTTCTAGCGCTTTTTATGAAGCTCCTTCTACTCGCAATGACATGGGACGTTCTCGTGACACTCAACGGCCGATCGTTCCACCGCGAAAAGCTCCGTTTCGTAGAGGAAATCTTTCTCCAACATCTCCTGTGCCTTCAAATTATAAGCATCATAGAAGGAGGAATCATATCATTAGTCACGCACCTGCACCTGCACCTGCACCGTCATATCCGATTTCATCCCGTGCGATAGAAACGTCAGGTATTGGTTTAACCTTGATTTGGCTAACTTCACTGCTATTTTCAATCTTGGTATCCCTGACATTGATGGCCATTGAACTTATTCTCCCCTTGGTTTGATATCATAGGACCAGTTGTTTCCACGGCACAACATTCACACGAGAGAGGAGACTACGCTCCACCTATGGAGTCAGGTAGTTCGATGTATTGATATCGTATGTGAATTGTTTAAAAACAAGAATGAAAAACTGACCCTTGTGGCTACTGGCTACGTACTTTCTTCCTGTGCAGATCCTTCGTCGATATCTCCTTCACATTATGATCGTCTACCGCTTGTGACTCATGTTTCGCCTTCTCCTTCACCATACCAGAAAATGTCTGGTCATACTGAAAGTATGGAGCATAACAATGTTTAAATCAAAGAAGAACTCTTTCACATACCAATATAAAACATTAACATTGTTGTTTGTTCATTCCATTTTCAGGACATTTTTATCCCCCTAAAGCTTCACCTTCACCCTTGAAACCTTGGGCAAAAAGCCCGAAGATGCCACCGCTGCGACCGATACATACATTGCCTCCTCCACCTCCCAATGAAGGTATACATCTACTCGAAATTCTCATCCAGATTACAAAGGAAATTAGTATTCACGAACATGTTCAATTTGATGTAGATTGTTCAGCTACCCAGTGCACCGAGCCATATACAAACACTCCCCCAGGATCTCCCTGCGGTTGTGTTTGGCCCATGCAAATTGGACTTCGCCTCAGCGTTTCGCTATATACGTTCTTCCCCCTGGTTTCGGAGCTGGCAGCAGAAATTGCTGCTGGGGTGTTCGTAAAGCAAAGCCAAGTACGCGTCATTGGAGCTAATGCAGCTAACCAGCAACCAGATAAGACTGTTGTTCTTATTGACTTAGTCCCACTTGGGGAAAAATTTGACAATACTACAGCCTTTTTGACTTACCAAAGGTTTTGGCATAAGAAAGTTTCTGTCAAAGCTTCCTATTTTGGGAAATATGAAGTATTATACGTTCGATATCCGGGTTTACCTCAATCACCTCCTTCTGGAGATTCAGGAATAGATAATGAGCCTTATTATAGTAATAGTAACGATGCAAGGACGGTTAAACCGATTGGCGTCGATGTACAGAACATACAGCACAAAGACAGGATAAGTGGTGGTATGATTGCCATTATTGCTCTATCAACTACTGTTGCAGTCGTCTTATGTGTTGCGACTGCTTGGATTTTGCTCCTCAGACGCAACGATGGCGTTTGTCAGCAGAAACCAACTCCACATGCTTTGGTATCTTCCCTCAATAAACCATCAGGTAAATGGATTGCCTACTTATGCTGCCCCCCTGCAAAGGCGGATCTCTTGCAACGTTATTTTACTTCATTCGTTAGCTCACTGTTCTCGATCCTCCTCCGCGATTTTTCTAAGTTAATAGAGTCTTGCAGGTGCTGGTGGATCAGTCATGGCAGCCATGCCTAGTTCTGCTTCTTTATCCTTTGGATCTAGCATTGCCCCATATTCAGGATCAGCCAAGACATTCAGTGCCTCAGACATAGAGAGAGCCACCAATAATTTTGACCCTTCAAGGATATTAGGGGAGGGTGGCTTTGGACGTGTTTACAGAGGCACTCTCGAAGACGATACCGAAGTAGCAGTTAAAGTTCTCAAGAGAGATGATCATCAGGGCGGTCGAGAATTCTTGGCTGAAGTCGAAATGCTTAGCCGTCTTCACCATAGAAACTTGGTCAAGTTGATTGGAATATGTACTGAGGAGGGTAGCCGCTCCCTGGTGTATGAACTTATTCCAAATGGCAGTGTGGAATCTCACTTACATGGTCAGAAAATGCTTCTCATGTGTTTCCTTCGTAGTTTAAGCAGCATGATAACAATTTAATCTTACCCAGTCTTCTATCAGATGTTGATAAGGAAACTGCCCCACTTGATTGGGACGCTCGGATGAAGATAGCACTTGGCGCTGCTCGGGGTTTATCCTATCTACACGAGGATTCGAGTCCGAGAGTCATACATCGAGACTTCAAATCCAGCAATATCTTATTAGAACATGATTTTACACCAAAAGTTTCGGACTTTGGCTTGGCTAGAACGGCAATGGATGAGGAAAGCAGACACATTTCGACACGCGTCATGGGAACTTTCGGGTAAGAATTCCTTCCGTTTGGTCGTGTTATTAGAAGTTCTTTTGGAATTAACACTGCCAGATACAGTGAAGAACCAAGCTGAGGTTATGGTAGTTAATATAGTTGTCACAATCTTAACTTAATCCCTTACTTACTTAGGCATGCACCTGAATTAAGCAAACTTGATTACCTTCAAATCTTAGAGTAAACGTCTGTTCTTGATTTTCCTCACCAACAATGCACCTGTGGAAACAAAATATATTAGACCTTACTTTTGAACAATAATAATGAGATTGTTATGCATCTTCGCTTTGTTCGTTTTTGTATTTTATGCCTTCTCTTACTCGAGTTATTGCATCTCCTACAGATATGTGGCTCCGGAATATGCGATGACGGGGCATTTACTTGTGAAGAGTGATGTTTATAGCTACGGGGTCGTTCTTCTTGAGCTATTAACAGGGAGGAAACCGGTTGACATGTCGCAACCGCCTGGTGAAGAAAATCTTGTTGCTTGGGCTCGTCCACTACTCACGAGCAAAGAAGGTCTAGATGTTATAATTGACAAATCGCTTGATTCTAGTGTTCCTTTTGAAAATATTGCCAAAGTGGCTGCCATTGCTTCAATGTGTGTGCAACCAGAGGTGTCACATCGACCTTTCATGGGCGAGGTCGTTCAAGCTTTGAAACTAGTATGCAACCAATGCAATGATGCTCGAGAAGCAATCTCACAAGCTGGTTCAAGCCTAGATAATTCATCTTTGGAGATGAATGACGAGACATTGAGTTCAAGATACATGCTAGACTCTTTTCGTAGCGAATATTTAGTATCTGGCTCAATATCAGGTCTTGATGTCATCGATACACGTCTCTCAATCTCGGGTATGTTAAATACTTCAATTGGAATCGGAATGCTAGAATCTAGATCACTCGAAAGATGCTTAAGTTCTAGTCCTCTTCGAAACGGGAAAGGTAAGAGGCACTTCTGGCAAAGAATGAGAAGATACTCTGGAAGTAGCATCAGTGAACATGGAATGCCTAGATTATGGTCCGGTTCTACCTAACAAACAAGCAAGTCCTTCCACATACTTCAAATTCGATGTTGACCGATTTTGATCCAATACGCCCTAAGACGAACGAACATACGTACAAATTTCAACTAACTGGCTTCCAAAATAGCTTTTGCAGTGCTATACACAACAACTTGATGGGATTGTAGAGGATAAGGTGACGATAAACTGGGGTGGATACAAGAACGGTTAACATTCTCGTTATCCTCGACGTTTTTTTCTTCCTTGCTGTTGCAGAATAAAGCATTAGAGTGAAGAAAATGCTGTAAGATTCAGAGTCAAATTTTTTTTTCTTTTCAATCAATGTATAGAACACTTTGTATCATGAAAAAAGACATCCATTAGTCTCACCTGTAATATCATATAATATCATCCACCACGCTTCAAAATAATAAGAGTGAAAGGCCTTGCATTATTTGCTAGTTCCTAGACGGGCTAAATAACAAACAAGTTGGTTCGGGTTCGGGCAAGAACAAGGAATCCTGGTCCCCAAACACAGAATCATAACGGGTTTCATTCAACATAACACCAAATTTCAAGAACCTAACCACCAAGTAATCCAGGGAAACAAGAGCGTTCAATACCTTGATGGTATCACTGTGGATCATGTTCATTCTACTAAACTCTATAAATGGTAGAGAGAGCCTGCGCCGGATTTACTTGCACACCTAACATCTCAATCCTAAGAAAACAGACAAAATCTACAACCTACTGCGTTATGTCCGAAAAAAACACAGGTAGAAAGGTTTATGAAGCACTCAAGGCTTCGCAGCACATTCAATTACGTGAGATTTGAATTTTTCAAGCTCAGCTAACACCTCATCTTCTGGACGATAAATTAGGTCACTCATGCGCCATATCTGCAACTCATAACAAATTCAAGAGAAAATTAGCACACCCCTCCAAGTTCAGAAACCATACAAATCTATTTGTTTTGCTTTTGTGCATGTGTGGGAGGCGAGTGAGAGAGACAGGGAGAGAGATAGCAACCTGCAACGTCCCTCCTCCACCAGTCGTATCACAATCATCAGACACACTCACAACAGTCCATGGATCAGCTGCATTCCAATGGAAGTCGACGACTTTATCCCTGGGGCAAAAGATTAGATGAGAAGGACCATTACCATTGAAGCCAAATCTAATAACAAAACAATTTTCTGCCTACCTACAAGTACATAACAAAAACCATGAACCAACAGCAAACTAAAAAAAATCCTCTTTTTTTTTTTTTTTTTTTTTTTTTTTTTTTTTTTTTTTTTTTTTTTTTTTTTTTT